CCGAATCTGTGCTGTGCTGAATCTGTGCTGAATCTGTGCCAACTTCCGTTACATGCTTCTTCAGCCCTTGTTGTTAAAAAAGCAGAGTACCTACGTATGTGCGCTCTTGGAACCTGCTAGGTGTATACTTAACTAAAATCAAATATCAGATTTCATAAAATTTATGTGAATTAATCATGCATTTTACCGAATCAAAACACTACCTAGAATCCATTTCTTACGCAAGTCACTGCCTTTTGTCAAACGATCTCATTCATTCACAGTCACACTTATAAGGGAAGCATGTGCTATAGGAGTGCTCGTGCACCTGTCAAGTTGCATGCGTGTTATCAAAATGCACAAAATTACCTGCGCTGCGTGCGCCCCTTTATTACAAAATCGTCGTTTATCATTCCATTTTTGTGGCTCGAATCCATTGAGCTACATCGGCTTAGCACGTCTTGATAACCTTACAGGGAAAAGACCATGTTGTGGCCAACTACATAAGCAGTTAGGGTAGTTCCGCGAAACCATCGCAGCCTGCCGTGCGCTTATGGGATGTCAGCCTTCCTTAAACGACTGGTAGCTCGAGTGACTATCGTTTACACGTGTGTCCGGGGTTGTTTCGTGTTTGGGGACGTGTTCAACATGTCACTGAGTTTGACACATGGGTACTGACTGGCAATCGTGTGCGAACGTAACAGCGCGTGCAAATTCATACTCATGCTGATTTGGCGATGCTGCTATTGATTCTTACTAAATGGGCCATTGCATCCGTCAAATGCTTCTAGAACAGTTTAGCATTTGCTTCTTCGAAGGCTCTTACGCTGTTGTGCTTGTGGAATGCACGTTGTTGTGCAAAAGGAAAATTGACCCTGCTGGAGTACCTACAGCGAAATTTCCTGAACTTGATGACGGCTTCTTCAGCCAAATCTCTTTTTCCTTGCATCATGCAGCTTTCTCAGTCAAAGCGTACCTATAGCCCGACTAATGACCTACCCCAAGCCAGCCCGCGGATGGCAAGTCGTTCTACCTACTCTTGATCTGCCCTGCGACGCATGTGTGTGCGTCCTGTGAGATGTCCTGCGACGGGTGTCTGTCCATCGTGATCTGCCCTGCGATGTGTGTGTTTGTGTGTGTGTGTGGGGGGTGTCCCCTTAACCCTCCCCTGCCATGAATTTTGCCCCCTGTGACTTGTCCTGCGATGTGTATGTCCCCTGTGACCTGTCCTGCCATGGATCATGTCCTCTGTGACCTGATGGCGTGCGATCCACCTGTCCCCTGTGAACCGCTCCGTCGGACCCGGCCCAGAGTCGACCTCCCGTCGCCGTCGACCGCTCAATGCCTACCCCCCGGCACGTCGTGGCAGGCGGGCTCGGCCCTACGTCATAGGAGCTCGTCGTCGACCTTTCGATCGTGACGTCACTGCCGATACATCCGGTGTGGGATGGGCGGCGCGGTCCGCCACGACGGAGTGGCCGTGGCGCCGTTGAACTCTGGACTTTTTGTCCGCATTGACACCTGGGTCTTGTGCAAGATGCAAGTCAGGCGTAACCAGTTTCATGACGTCCCGTCAATGTTTGATAGAAGGCTGCTCAATACTGGAGTATAATGCTATGTAATGCAGTGTCCAATCGCTCGTGCGTTGCGGTGGTGCGGCTAATTACACAGAACCATACGAGACGGTCAGCAAAAAGCTAACGGCAGAACGCTTCAAAAAAAAAGTAGTAGGGGTTAGTCATAAGCGTTCGTCGACTTCAAACATATATTTAATTAAAGAATAAAGTTTCCACTTATCCAGTCAGTACACACAGAAAAATATTGACACTATTGACAATATATCAAAACTATTGATATATTGGTTGGGTGTTTTACTACATGTAGCAAAACACCCAACCCTCCTAACAGTGTTCTATTACCTTCTTCCTGGTGTTCGTTTAGAAGCGCGAGTAATGTAAGCGGGGAAGGGACTAAATTAACTTTCCTCAAGTGCTCAGATATGTACCTACTGTGCAATTACACCGCTAACGGTGTTAATATTTTTCTGTGTGTATCCTTTTACGACTGACACATATCGAAGCTCTCCGAAGACGTTTACAACACATGAAATGCCTCCCCGTTAGACGCAAGCAATTGTCTACATGAAACATGTACATACGTTATGGAAATGTTTGGTGCTATGCTTTTCTTCTAATTGGTCTCTGTTCATTGAATTTTTTTTTTTTAATAAATTTAGTCCGAACCTTTTGATGGGAAGGATTCACAAGGACAGAGCCACCGCTAAGCGAAGCTTGTTGCGATGACCCTGCCCTCTGCCCTCCGATCGCGCAATTCCAATTCTATGGCAGAATTTAGAGTCCAAAGTTAAACGTGCGCACAAAGCCGCGCACGGCCGGTCCCCTCGCTGACTTCGCCTGGCTACGGCCTGCCACCAACCGCAACCATACCTGCCAGGAGGCCCATAACTATCGAGCGCCCGTCGCGCTTCGAACCCGGACTGTCATAACCGGGAGCGCGTGCTCTCACCACGCGGAGTCCAACGCTCTAACCAACTTCCTAAATTATTTCCATGCCTAAGTTGCTAGTCATGTCGCGCTCCTATCTCAAATTGGCCAAATGAGGTAGGTCTGCAGTGATAATGACAAGCTTACCGGGGCCAAACCGGGGCAACGATCACGTTGCTGGGAGTGGTGGTTCGCCCTATACTTCAGAGCAGCCAATGACACTGAGGGTCCTTCATCACTCGACAGGCTCTGAGTGGCTCTGAATCTTTCCGGGATTTGGCGTGCACCTTAGTCATTGGCCATGGTTCATGTCCCACGGGACATCCCCAGTCTGACAGTGCCTCCCCGCTCAAAGGTCGGCACTGTCTAAGTGCACGAGATAGAGATTTGTGTAACACTTCGCTTCACAGGCCAGTGGCTGCACGAAAGTATAGCCCGTATGGCTATCTCAAGAACGTGTGAATGTAATAGCCCAGGTGCCAAGGCGCCATCCAAATATGCTTCAATAGATAGCTGAACGTTCCCGGGATCCCGAATCCGTTTCGCTGGCACGGAGCCGGTACTGGGATTGTTTACAATATCGCGTAGGAGGGGCCTCTTTCGAGGAAGTATTAATGAATTGATGCCTTTGAAAGCTCCGTTATACTCTTGCCGCGTCCTGCGGTGAAGCTCCGTCGTCCCTTCCCGGTTCGACAGCACGGTGGCCGGGAAGCCAGAGCTTCAAATCTAAACCCTAATTCATCGCCATCACGGATTCAAACCTGTGCTTTTTCCACAGAATCCTGGTGGGGCTTGCCAAAGGCAACCGCGCACCCTGCCAGACGGCGATTGGGGTCTTCCTTTGATGCTCCGCGCAGCAGCCGCGGTCAGATGAACGGTCTGTGTTTTCTGGTTAGAGGTTGAGGGGAACAGTAGCCTTGTGGTGGCTGGCAGGATTAGGCCCGGTTGTCTGCGGCCCGTGCGGTCTTGTACGAAGCTCACACGCAGTGTATGTGGGCGTTCGTGTCTCCGCTCTTTAGAGGGATCTCTGTAATCGGCTTGGCCACGTGCCGTGCCGGGGCACTGAGCCTTCAGCTTCCGGATCAGCGGCGGCGGCCTGTGGCCAGGCACTGCCCGACCTGGCGCCGGGGGCGGGGACAGGTGTTCTCGGACACGCGAGCTGGGCGGTCCCGGTGATCTGCACCGCGTCCGCAGCACTGTTCCGGCCTTAACCGATGGTGTTCCTCACGGACACAGGATTCTACCTGGTGTTTTTTGAAACGAGGTCTGCTCACGGGGTGCTAGGTGTTTTCCGAGTGCCGATAAGACCCACGCTGTCATGTCTGAATACACATCTATATCGGTTACACGAGTTACTGCTGCATATGGCAAGTGCCGACTACAATCAGCAATTTGGTGGCAGGCTATCGTGGCACGGCCGGCTCGGACCCGGAAAAAATGACCGCTGATAGTGGACGCCGTGTTTACTGTCGTGGGTGCCGGCGGTAAATGTGGCCGCGTACGGAGAAAACTCGGCGCCCGGGAGCCGTCCGACCGGTGCCACGACAAATGTCGCCTAATTGATCCCGGCAAAAAAGCCCGCTAAGCGCCCCTCGCGTTGCGACAGGACTTAGCCTATACAGCTTGGGGATATGTCACGTAACCAGCAACACATGACATACCAATAACGGACATCGCTGTAAAAAGGAAAAAAATACAAGACGGGGGAACACCTGGCCAAGTGTTGTGCCCGAAAACGCCACAAGGATGTACGTTTTTCGATGTTTGAGCAAAACTGTACAAGGACGCTAACGGCCTAGAACTTTGTGGAAGCTTATCCTTCCTGTTGTTGCTTGTCATTGGTTGCATAGCGTGTTTGCCATGAAAAATGTAATGTTGTGCTCAAGTTGATAAGTGTTATTCGGGTGGTAGTGTGACTGCTTGATCATTCTCGAATTGATGCATGCAGTTATAATGAATTCATATCCGTATGCTACCGGATATGGACTGTATAAATTACTTAGTAAACCTTGTATGAGGTACAGTACAAATCCCGCGCTATATCACAAAGTGTAAGCGCTCGAAACTCTAGTCACAGTGCATTCCTTACCCTGATCTGCCCGTAATCTTGCACCTGGTAACCTTTCGGTCAGCTTCGTTTTATCCAACTGGTCATGCTCGGCCCATGTATGTCAGAGATCCACCCTCATCAGACGGCACGCCTGACTCTAAAAGCTCCTGTAACTCGCCTATTTGTACGCTAGCGTGCAATGTATCGGCTGAGATTTCTGTGACCTGTACCCTAATTCCAAGTACCCTTGTCACTCCTTCATGCAATATCTTGTCTCCAGGCACACTGGCGGCCGTCTCAAGTCGCATGTAATGTAGAGCGCTCTGTTACCAGGCCTTTGTACTTCCATTCTACGTCTCAGAAACGCTACCTGAATCCAAAAACCTCTCGCACTTCCATTTATAACTAAGCAATATGTCACGGTCTCTGCGTCCACTAACCACCTTCATCTCCCCCCCCCCCCCCAGGAGATGTCTTCGCTCTCGTACGTACCCGTGGAGCCGTACTCTGCCGACTCGGACTGGCGGTACCGAGCCGAGGGCGGCGCCAACATCGTCATCAGCATGCCGCACCAGGGACGCGTTCTGCGCTTCCCCAAGACGGCACATGCTGAGCCCATCCAGGTGGCTCGCCTGCGCCGCCTGGCCGATTACCGCAACTTCGTGATCGCGCCGCTGCTGGGAGAGCTGGGCGGATCGCCGTGGCAGGTGGTGCGCCTCTCGGAGGAGGACCGGCGCCGACTGGTGACCGACATCGAGCCGAGCAGGCCGCCACGGCGCCGCGGTAACGCCATCAACCCCGGCGGACTGGCGCTGAAGATGGACGACTGCGCGGTGTTTCCGTCGCCGGCGGCCCCGCTGGCACCGCCCACGGCGCCGCCGCATGTGTTCAGCGTAGAGATCAAAGCGAAACAGGGCTTTCTGTGTGCAGATGATGATCTGGGCGTGTGCAGCTTCTGCATGAAGCAATACCTCAAGCTGAAGCGCGGTACGGTACAACAGGTGAGTGGCTACTGTCCACTGGATCTCTTTTCGGGCGAGTTCGACCGATTTGACCGCGCGTTGCGGTCGTTGCTGGACAGTCCGCAGAACAACCTGAGGGTATTTCTGGACGGTGAGTTTGTGTACGGGGCTGGCGCCAGAGGTGACCGCGACCAGCTTCTGGACGCTGTGGCAGAGGTGATGGCGGAGCGACGGCCGCCGCAGGCCGACCGGCTCCTGAAGCTGTGGACGCGCCTCATGTTCACCGTGCTTTGTACCAACGACAGCCAGAGCGTCCTCCAAGAGGAGGACGAGGACGAAGAGTCCTGCCGACCGGCCGGCTGCTGCGTTCCCGGCGCCGGCCTGCCTCCCCGTTCGTTCCTGGGACGCGTGCTGCGCGGTCAGCGGCTGGCGGCCGCCGGGCCGACCCAGACCTCCCAGCTGCTTGACCAGATGACGGCAGCCGAGCCCAACCGCGTGGAGGAGGCGTTCCGCACGCCCTTCTCGGACCCGCTGTGGACACGGGTGGTTGCAGACGCCGACATTGAGCCCGTCGACGCGCTCGAGGCTCTCCAGAGGTACAGCATCGGCGCGACGATGCGCGACGCGTCGCTGATGATCACGATGCGCCGGGCGAGCGACGGAGAGGTGGACGCCGGTTTGCGCCAGGTGACCGACTCTGCCGGCCACCGGTGGGTGGTGCTCTGTCGCCTGATGGACCTCGACCCGAAGCACGTGCGCCGCGTCAGCCGCCAGCGGCTCAAGAAGGAGAAGTCCAAGGAGTTGTACCTCCGCGCCCGGCACCCGCGAGGAGAGGCGAACCGTGGCGTGCCCATCCCGTGTAGTGTCAGCGACGAGGGCATCGACCATCTGCTGGCTGTGTCAGGGTCTCCGATGTGAAGAGAAGGCATCCACCGCCTGCTGGCTGTGTCAGGGTTTCCGATGTAGAGATGTTTCAACCACTTGATAGCTGTGTCAGGATCCGCGACGGATGATCGGTGGGTGCAAGGGACGGGGGATGACCGTAGACGTTTCGTTTAAGACACATAATTTCAAATGGTTTTAAGTTCCTGGAAGATGGTTTACGCAGGTGACCTTGTCTGGGTAGTGCGGATCTTTCTTTGGCGTGAGCCTCGTTGATACGTTCGTACTAATTGACGGAATGCAGTGGACATTCTGAACATGCTCCTAAGAATTTCGAAAAGTCGGAACATGTCATCGTGATATCTGATTGCTATAAAGCCAATTCATATGTGCGTATTGATTTCATACATAGACCGATAATGTGCGGATCGGTCCCAAGTGGAAGAGCAACTGATGTACATAGAAACATGCGAATGGTATGACCGTGTGTCCAAAAACAGGTGTAGTATGTTGGGTGCTCTTCTTTGCCGGAAAGTTCTTCTGTTCGAGTAAAGGACTGGGCCTTCTTTGGCTTTGGAATTATGTTGAAGCTGGCAGGTATATGCTGGCGTGCGCTGTTGGTCGCTTTCTCTGAGCGCTGCACATTTTGCAACACACGCTACTATTCACATTATTTTACAAAACGTACATTGGTCATGTGTGCTAAAATTGTCTTTTACTGGTCCGATTTGGGAGTCGCTTCGATAATTGTCTTAAGGTCTTCAGGATACCACGAGACATTGAAAAACTTGTCCTTCGGGAATACCATGGCTGCTTGTATTACAGCATGCAATTTTAAACTCGATGTGCATTTTTACTTTTCATGAGGACCAACAGGCATGCATAAACAACATTCATGTGGTGTTTTAACATTTAAGTGGTAATTAGTTTACCCAAGGGCGCATCGTTTCCTATCCCAAGGTACGACACATTTGCAATTACCTGCCATACGTTTTGGCGGAAAAGTATATTAAATTATTACTACTTTCTCCCTTCTTACGCGGTGATTCTGGAGCTACTTTGATATCGGAGTAGCTAGACTGTTCAACTTCCCCATTCAGCCATCCACCTGATCAATGTCTGGCTGAGAAACCACAGGAAAATGCGCAATGTCTGTCACCTGCATGTGCAGAATGACTACTGACGAGCCGCTGGCCTAGGGGTCTGAACAATCTCGTCGTCTGAGGGTCAGACGCCGACCCAGTGACGATGGATACGCGCTGACCCGGCCGAACCTCTGAGACCGAGCTGTCACGTGCTGATAACATGAGTCGCGCCAAGGATAACCTCCGCTGAGACGTGCCTCGCAATATGTCCTTGGTCTCAGGTGTTTTGTTGGAAATGTTTGTCCATCGCCTGCTTCCGGCTCGGTGCGTTTTTGCTGAGAATGAGTGAATCGAGGAGATGACGCTGTTTTAGTGAGCTCGGACTCGGACCGACTAGAAAGTTGCCATATTGCTAAACGAGTGCATGTGGCTCGAATGGTTGACTGAATGTGAAATGTCATTTATCGAGAGTGTTTGCACTGCGAAAGTGGCGAGAGATCTTCGACGGGGGCAGTGGTGATGGGAAATGTAGGTGCTATTGAGTAGTCTGATAAGAGTGTTACGTAACAACTTGACTGATCCATCTCACCCTGTAAGCCGTCCTCACCATGTTCTACCGGCCTACCCTGGGCTCGTGCCCGCCGGTTCGCCGGTCATTTGTTGGTCTCCGTACCACAAAGACAAGTGCAAAATGTCGTGCCATGTCACTATCACGCGCTCCTGAACGTCGCGTGGTTATTATTCTATATTCGCTCGCTCCATGTGCCGGTGGATTATAAGAGAATGCAAGTTGTTAGCCCGGTACGTAAATGTAGAACCGTGTATACAGGACTGTGAGAGCCGTCTTTCCGGCCTGTCTTTCGAGAAAATAAATAAGTATACATGACATATAACGTATGTGATGTAAGAAGATTTTTACCACACAATGGCCATCAAAACGAATGATGATTTTAGTTAGAAATGAGATAATCTGGTTGACATGGATGAGGGTGGGCTCGACGATTATGATACAGAGCCGTAAGCATTGCTACTTACAGAGCTGGCACTGCGCACATTGGCAGCCTGAAGGATCTGCTGAGGGCATATCTTCGGGGTCAGTTGCCACACGAAAAAAAAAATATGAGCGGAGCTGCTTATCGAAAGCCGAATCTCAAAACGTGTTCTCACTCGTTACTTCAAATTTCAATGACTTCTTACATATCAAATGCTGTAATTCTACCCGTTTCGTAACATCGCCATAACATGATTAGATTATGTAACAGTTGATTAAACACTGCCACAGGGTGCAGATGATTCCTCATCTCACGCAGCTCGGCTGTGGGTGATGCTCCGTCTGGGTCCGGTCCCGGTGTCTGGGTCCGGCTGGTAGGGTCACCCGGCGGTGTGGCAGGGTTCAGGGACGATCGACAGGGGCCAGGGGCCGCCTGCTGCCGCTAATTTGCCGAGTGTCGGCTCTGGGGAGGGGGCGCCCCGGGCCGGACAACACGGCGGCACGAGCCGCGTTGCCGCTCACTGCTGGGAAGTCCGAGATGGGTGCGGCGGTGCGGCGGCAGCCTCCTCCAGCCGTGTTGTGGGTCAGACGGGTGGGCCGCGGCGCCGGCTGGGGTGCTCGCGCGACTTAGCGTCTCACGGGGACGTAGAGATGGCATGATGCTCAGAAATGAAACAGCTGTGCTATAACTTGTTTTAGATTGATTAGTAGCATTATATTATAAAGTTGTCGAATTCTTGCTTTTTGCATGAGTGACGATTTCAATAAGTTTATGCTGAACATTTGTATCGTCAAGATTATCCAAAACGGCGACGCTACACTTCAGTTTTAACACGCGCCAGGAATGGATGGGAGAGGGGGCGTTTGAACACCTCTCGAGCATCCCCCGAGTCGAATATTCCACCCGTGACCCCCTTTTCATGCCCTTGAGGTCATCTCAGGTCATGAAAGATCTCCAGCAGTTTTTGACAATAACTTTTGATAGGGACGTATGTACCAGGGCAACGAAAACGCCTTTGATGTGTTCAGCTCAATGACACGAATTGACTGTTATGCAATATGACATTTTCAGGTCGTCATGACCTTGGTCTTTAGTAAAATTTTCCAAATGAGCTTTTCGGTAAAATTATAATTGATTCGGCGCGCCTGCACGAGAGGGACACGATGTCGGTTAAGTCAATATCGTGCAAGTTTTAAGCCAAAAGTTATTGCAGAAAAACATTCTCCGCAACATAGGTGGCGGATCGGGGAGGGCACCGGGGCACCGTGACCCCCTTTGATTTTGGCATTTTAACATTAGCCCTATTGGCGCTGCATGGAAAGAATGGGACCAAGAGTTGGCAGTGCCCCCCTCCCCCCTTAATTGAAGGTGTTCCGCCGCTACTGCGTCGCAAAATACCTATGTAGTTATTTTGAAGTTTTTTTTTTGTTCTTTGGAGTCTGAAACCGTTGACTTAAGGTCAAATATGAGAATATAACTTTTCAAAAGGTAAGAGATAGCTGACCTGTTACAGTATCAGCCCGTTTTGGTCTTCAAGGTCCACGAAAATGCTGAGTAGTAGTGAGAAAGTGGGCACCGAAAATCGGCCACAAATGGCGTTGACAAACCGCAACGTCCCGCTAGACTCGCGTGGCGTTCCCAACACCCACATCGCGGTATCACAACCCGATACAAAGTGTTTGAGTGGGAGCGGTGTGGTGAGCATGGCCACAATCCCGATGTCAGCAAATGCATGGTACATAAGCGATAAATCCAGTCAATAGGGATGTGCACAGTCGCGTGACATTTGTGGTTTTGTCAACTACGGTCGGGCAGAATCGGTGGCACAAACAAACGGTCCCGCGTGGAATAACCTAGCCGGAACTTCTCTGATCAACAATGCAGGCAATGCTAAGTAGTCGAATTTCGCATGCTGCTAATCCTAGCCTTATTTTATCCCCTATTCCTGAAATTCAAACGGGACGCGTCCCAAGCGTGACGAAAACATTTGTACGGTTTGCGGTTAGCTTCTTCGAAAGGTTGTCGCCTCTTTCGGGTTGTCCATCCGTGAAGCCTATGGACCGTTAACTAACGTACGTAATGTTATCGACCACAGCGCCTCATAGTTCCGGCTGGCTGTTTTCAAACAGCGTAGCACCTCTGGAAGATGGACGGCGTTGTATTTCTGTGGAAGTATTGCATGCTGTCGAGGATTGAAGAAAACACGAGAAGGGAGTTCAAAAGCTCATTAAAGCTGAGATGATGCTGTAAGCCATGTTTCGGCACACCTAATCTATGCGGATGTCTTATTTAAAATGCACATCTGTGTCTAGCGGTGCGGCGGTGCCACTAAAACAGAACGAGTTTTAAATCTTACGGTTATATTTCATGGTAGATTACTAAATAATCACGATGAAGGGCTACTGTAAGAATAACAAGCAAGCGAATAGAATACGAGACGGACCCAAAAAGTATCTCAGGAGCTTTTTTATTCAATCCGTATTCCGTGTAGCCATTATATTAAGGGGACCCTCCCACCTTCAAAAAAGCTAATAAATTTGCATCAAAGTGATGTCGCTCGGTTCAGAAAGAGCGAAAACGAATATCTACCAAATTTCATCGAAAAATATTCACTGGTTTTAAGATAATAGCCGTTTTCACGACGGGCTATCCGGTGAGTGCACCTGATTTGACCAAATCTGCACCTAATCTCTTTTACAGCAAATATCTTTTTTTATAAATTTATTTCAGTGTTTTAATCGATAATACTCTCAGATAATATGACAAAACAGGCATATAGGCAAATAGTGCAGCCCTAGCTGATAGCTACTAAGAGACCCACTGAACCTGATTTGACCAAATCTGCACCTGATCTGCACCAGATGCGCACCAAATGTGTACCAGATGGCCTCGTGAAAACGGCTATTATACTTTTACTTTTGGTTACTTTTTGGAATCTCCGCTGTTCCTAGCGACTTTATTTGAAAGTGCGGCACTTGTTGCGCGCAAGCAGCATATAGGGGAAGCCGGGGGAAGCCCGGGCGCGGGGGAAGCCCGGCCACCCCGTTTCCGGCTAAATTATTCACAATAAAATGCTCAACTGTTTGTCCTTTCAGCGTGGCAGCTAAGGTAACGCCAGCAAAAATGTTAAGACTGACAAAAATTGCATGTTGTTAAAGTTATAGCGCAAAAATGATATTTTAAGGGTTTTAGCTAAAAAGTCAGATATGTTGCACTGTTAATGTTATGCCATAACAGTACTAATATTTATACGAATGTTATGTAAGGACCGTTTAAGTGTTTGTAGTGAGGGGTGACGAGGCAGGCTGGCTTAAGTATGACATTTTTTTCGAATATCGCTGTTCTAAAATAAAAATTAGCACATTGGGGTAACCCCGGGCGAGTGGCCAAGCTTACCCCCAACCGAGAGCAATGCCACTAAACCACTGTTTTCCATGAGATAATAGGTACTGAGCAGGTTTGGTTTACACCTAGATCAAAGATAAATTTCGAAACTAAACATGTTATCATAGACAAAGCCAGTCATGTCACTTAAGGTCAACTAGGATCAAACTACGTTTTTGAAGATAACGCGACAGACAATGAAGCTAGAGCTTCAAAAATGGTGTCGTTGTGTTCTTCTTCATCAGCCGAGTCGAATGATATGTAATATGATGCATTAAGGTAAAAAGAAAAATAAATTTTAAGGAATTTTTGAAATACACATTTTTTGTCAATTTTCCATCACGATTTTCATCGACCTGTACTGTATATGTAGTAGACGCTAGCTAAAATACCAGTAATGTCATAAACTCTAAGATGTCGAGAGCTAATCAGTACCTTAATATTTCACTTACCGTTAATATTTGGAAAACACATAATGGTTTCATCAACTCGTTGTAAAGCGCTGGGGAGGTGGCCGGCGTTACCCCTATGCCGGGCTTACCCCAGAAAATTCAACACTTTTTTAAAACTCGATTTTCTCAACCTTATACTTATTCCACGAAACCGAATTTTTGGGAAAATACGGCCAATGAACTTAGCTAGCTAGCAGGATATCAACATTTTATACAGCACGTATGGTATGTAATAAAAATGAAAAAGAGCTTACTATGCCGGGCTTCCCCCGGCTTCCCCTACCACCGCGTGCTACCAAACGTTTTAGTAAAAGATTTAAAATCGTTAGATCTGCGCTGACGTCACACACTCAGAGGGGGCATTCTAATGCATTAGCCCCTCTGAATCCATTTGCTGGAACTTTGAAATTAAATATTTTGATTTGAGGCATTTCTTGATCTTGTGAGTGCTCAAACCGGTAAGTGCAAGCCAGGGACCCCATTTTGGCTATCTCAACTCAAAAGTCAAAACTAATGTTAAGGTGGGATGGTCACTTTAAGGGCCCAATTGGGTCTAATATCTTTTTGCTTTTTAACTATATGGACACTGAGCAGATCCGCTAAGACCATGACTCATCGTAACCCACCATTGGGGCTATTTAAGAGATTATGGACCCTCCCACCTCCAAAAAAGCTTTTAAAAAATCGGCATTAAAGTGATGTCCCGTGGTTCAGAAAGATCAAAAATGAATATCTACCAAATTTCACCGAGAAACATTCACTGGTTTTCAAGATATTAGTCTTTTACTTTTGTGTACTTTTTGGGACCTCCACTGCTCCTAAGACGTCATTTGGAAGCAATAATTTTGCATCCTAAAAGTGTGTCAGAAATTGTGCGCTAAACAGCATATATACCATCACCTTTGACCGATAGTTTTAGTATAATATTCAAAAATTGTTAGATCTTCGCTGACGTCATAAATTCTAAAGGCTGCATTCAAATGCGTTAGCCCCTAAAATCTGAAAACTGCAAGTTTGAAATTAAAAGTTTAAATATCTCCGAAATAAAGCAGTACTCGATGT